TCTAGAAATGGCTACAAGTTTCTGTACTGTTCCGCCCGTGCCATTGGGATGGCAGGTATGACCAGAGGATACCTACACTGGGTAAATGACCAAGGAACAATTCTCCCCAGGGGCCCTGTCATGTTGTCCCCCAGCAGTTTGTTTTCTGCCTTTCATAGGTAAGCGTGTGGGATTTCATACATCCGTTCCCTCCCCATCTCAGAGAAAGAAGCAGATTAAAAAGATTTGGCATGCTGACCATTACAGCTGTAACCAAACATTCCACTCTGTGCTAGATTTGCTACAGAGACTTGGTGTCCCTCTAGTGATCATTTATAAGCTATTTGTTTTGTCTGAATTTCACTTGCAGTATACTTCTGTTTCTGTGGGCATGTTAGAAGTGGCTACAAAACACAAAATATCAGTCATAGAGCAGCTCATTTTCCCTTTTCTTCATTCCTCTAGTCCATGACTGATTACTATTAGGTTCTGTTTATATCAGTACAATTTTGTCTTTTCAAGTATAGCCACAAGTATTGTAGTGCAGTGCTACTATGCAAGATAGAGGGAAAAGAAAAAAAGCTGGGGGACATAGACTGTCATATTAAATGATATTGTGATATTGGGAGCGCTCCATATATGACTACTTAAAAAGCAATATGGAGTTTAGCTATGGTTCAACTCGGTTGACCTTTTCAACCAGCCATAGTCTACCTGTTCTTGATGGGAAGAGCTCATAGTGGAAAAGTCTTTTTGGTTTTGCTTGGTTTTTAGTAAAAACAACTGATTCATGGCTCACAATGACAGCAGCTTCCATTAAGGTCACTAGTAGGCCTTCCGCACTCTTTTGGCAGAGGCAGAAGTTGTAACAAGCTTATGTGTACTTGATTAGGTCTTCTGATTCAGATGGTCATCTGCAGTAAAAGTGGTTCACAAACTGCATTCACAACTGGGAATTACATCCCATTTACTTAGCCTAGGCACAGGTTATTCACCTATTTTTTACTATGGATGTTGGAAAACAGCAAATGTTTTATTGTTTTATTGTCTCTTTTATCATTCTTGGAAAACTACTGACCAATGTCTGTATAATGCTAGCAACAGAAAGCAATGAGAATATAAATACCAGATAAATGACGGAAGGAGGATACCCTCTATCAAATCATGATTTAGAATTTGACTGTTGAAATTTTATTTCAGGGAAGTAATAGAAAAGAAGCCTGAAAAGTTCAAAATCGAATGTTTGAATGATATCAAGAATTTGTTTGCTCCCAGTAAACAGCCTTTCTATGCTGCTTTTGGAAATAGGCCCAATGTAAGTCTACCTCTTTCTAATTGAAGGGTTAAAATGCATTAAGTACGTGGGAGGCAAAAGAAATAGGCTTTTTTTTTGTCTATTTAAATTTGAATAAGGAAATGGGACACTTGTGCTTTTATGGGTTTGGTCAGGAAAACCCACATGCAGATACCTTAAATAAAATCTGCTAGAACTGCTTATATGAGAAAGGTTACAAAGTTAGTATTCTCAGGATTTTATTAAATATGTGCCACCTTTCCATATTATTTTTCAGCATTTTTTACAGCTTTATAACCTAAGGGTATTAATTCAGTGCTCCTCAGTTTTGAATCCTTTTTCCTATCGTACGGTTCCTGTATTTTCTCTGCAGATCAATGCTATTGTAATTGAGCTAGAAAGAGAGGGTATTCTAAGAGGAATATTGTCACAAGGAATGGTATTGTGTGGTGTAGATTTTGTGCATGTTGGTGGTCCCAGGCTTGGCAACAGGAATTAAGGGGTTGGGGGCAGGGGGAATGTTTTGTTATGGCATGTGTATGGTTTTTTGTTTGTTTTGTTTTTCAGCTGTTGTTTAGGGGGCTTTTTTTAAGGGGCAGTTTTACTGTATCCTTTTTGGATCAGCTTTTCTCATTCCTTCAAGGAATTGTTTGTTATATCACATTCAATAAGGAAATGTGGAAGCATGTGCTTTTGTTCATGCTTTTTGCAGGATGTATATGCCTACATGCAAGTTGGAGTTCCAGACTGCAGAATATTTACTGTGAATCCAAAGGGTGAACTGATCCAAGAACGGACTAAGGGAAACAAATCTTCGTAAGAACATTTTTGTTATTTCAGCTAAAGAAAGTATTCGGGAATGAGATTACAAAATAATTGCAATTGTGACCATGATTCGAACTCCTATTACATACAACATGTGAAAATCTTACGTGCCAGAGGCTTACAACTTTGGATACTTAACTGAAACTTTCCAAAAAGAAAAGTAAACTGGCGAAATAAAATTGAAAATTGCTTCTGCAGTACTGATGCCTGATTTGACTATAGCTTTCTGGTCTAGACTTCTAAAGCTCCTTTTTGGCTACAGTTGAACAGTGACTAGACTGTTAAATGATGGTCTTTCTTCTTTTTTAATATAGGTATTACAGACTAAGTGAGCTTGTGGAACATGTGTTCCCGTTGCTTAATAAAGAACAGAGTTCTGCATTTCCGTGCCCAGAATTCAGCTCCTTTTGCTATTGGAGAGAGCCTCTTCCTGATGTTAACATGGACGACCTGGCCTGAAAAATACTTCTTAGCTAGAGATGGAATTTCATATTCAGCTACTCAACTTCAGTTTAAATGTGAAGAACTTTCTTAATGAAGATGCTAATTTATATACTGGTACCATAAGTCTTACTAAAGAAATCACTTTAACTCTGTTGGTTTAAAACAAAGAAAATGCAAAGCTACTATCTATTTTTTTTGTGTGGGGTTCAGTTTTTTGTTTGTTTCTTTATTGCTTGTCTTTATCTACCTGTTGTAAGGCACTTGAGATTGGCCTGTCATTGATGGTCATGGTACCCAAGTGCTTCAGGGCAACTAAATGCTGAGGTAAACTATGACTTTGCATTTTCATCAATACAGACCTTATTGTAAACATAGATTGATTTTTTTTTTTGTTTTGTTTTGTTTTAGTCTTAATACTATATTTTCTAAAATGAAGCCAAAAAGTATATGGAAACTGCCAAATAGAATGTCAGACCTATTAATAAAAAACATGGTCTAATGTTCAGATGGGCAATTAGGCCGTTTTTGAAAGGAGCCAGAACCTAAGACCAGTGTGCTTTTTCTCAGCTAAAATACAGAAAACGTGTAGACATTACTAGCTTGACAGACTCTGAAGACATAAAATTCCTCTTTAAATATAAATATGCCTTTTGTCACATGTACAAGACTCTGCTTGTACAATTCATGCTCAAACTAACTCTGCTTATTACTTTTTTTACATGCAATGCTTCAACTATTTCATGAGCTTGTTAAAATGAAAGTTGTCTTCAGATACTTGTGTGGCTTTTGTTGTTTTCTGGCTGCACTATGTCATGTTAAATTTCCATCAAGAAACATCGTGAACATTTCTGTAAGAGTTGGGGAGCTGGCATTTTTATTTCCTTTTTCAGCACAGAGATGATGCATATATGTGTGTGTGCTGTGTAGGCCAGTAAAACGTATGTACAGATTATATTCAGGGAATTGTAATACTAAAAAAATTATGTATTTAATTTTTTTAATTGTCTGCTGCAGGTCTTTCCAGAATTCTGTATTGCAGGTTTTCAGTAGCTGGAAGGAAATGCAGCTAAATAGTGAGATTCCAGGTATGAGAATGGTTAAATGCTGCAGAGCAGAATAAAACCTTTTTTTTTTTCTTTTTTTTTTTTCCTTGTTTTTTTCCTTTTTTTTAACTTTTGGGTTATTCATAATCATCATGCTGGTCATTCCTCAGGTTCAGATCAGAGCCTGTGAACAAATTGCATTCCAAGTCTAGTGTTTATCAGCTGTGAAAGCAGCTAGTATTTCTCTCTCCAAAAATACTTGAAGGCAAAGGTAGTTCTGCTTTTTAAGTTGAGTTAGTGCATTTAACCTCCTTTGGACAAATCTATGGTGAGCATGTATGATTCCACCAGCTCAGAAGGCTTAAGGACTAGAGTCATTTAAACATCAGTCATTTAAACATCAGTCCTGGGCTCTCTGGGCGCACAGTCTTTTCTGTCACTCCTTAAGCAAGTTCCTGGGGCCATGCATTGAAGATTCTTTCAGGGGCAATGTCGAGAAATTCCACCAGGCTCCAGGGCAAGCTTCTCCCCCA